TTTCATACTAGAATTACAGAAAACCTAAAACAGAGAGAAAGTCTTAAAAGTAGCCAGAGGAAGAAAAGCCAAATTACCTCAAAGGAGGAGCTAGAATAATCAAGACTAGGTTAAATAAATGGAATTATCACTGTAAGTATAAGTATAGTAGATTATTTGCATAACTTTGGGACAAGGAAGGATTTCCTAAATAAAACACCAAAAACAACAACCATAAAGGGAAAAAAATAGATCAATTTGGCTTCGTTAAAAAATTTGGACTTTTATTCATAAAACTACCTTAAAGGAAGTGACAAAACAATCCGAATAGTAGAAAAATATAATCAATAAAGGATCCATATCCGGATTACATAAAGAATTCCCATGAATCAATACAATAATCCAAGAGTAAAATGTGTAAAAGATTTGAACAGGCATGTCGTGAAAGAAGAAACCCTGATAACCAACAGAATAGGAAATGGTGTTCAACCTCACTATTAATCATGGAAATCCAAACTCAAACCTGTATGAATGTATGTATATGTGTTAGTATAAATACACATTTAAAATAAATATTTAAACATTTCATGTCTGACACTGATCTGAAGAAACGATAAACCATAACTCATTCATGCAAAAAATAATACGTATCTTTGAAAAATGGTATTTACAAAGATCATTTGACGACAAAGGAGAATGACCCTTTATTTAGAGAAACTGAAGGATATAAAATGGTAAATGAAGTATAATTTGATTTTGAAAAAATAATGAAAATACTCCAAAATATTAACACTGTTTAAGTGGTCCCATTTTTTTTCTCGGTAATTCTGTGTTTTTTAAATCTCTAGAATAATCATGCTTTTATTTTAAAATCATAATACTGCATTTAAAAAGAAGAAAACTCGGCAAAAGGAAGTGAAGCCGTTTTCCAATCAAGTAAACATTAGGTGTATGGGAGTTACCGTGCTTCAATAGCAGGCTCAACTATCCTTCCCTCCAGTGGGAAAATTATAGGAACCTATAATGAAATGACGTATCTTTATTAAGCATTAACTTTCATAAGAAGGAAAGCATAGAGGAAACCCCAACATACCTTGGACACTGCTTGCAGAAGTTCATCGTGCATTCTTTCCCTCTTCTACGCCTCACCTGGAGAAGGGTAGAACTGGGAGAGGAGAAAGTAACTCTGAGACACCAGGTTTTTCTTCTTGCTCAAAGTGGTCAGGTCAGAGGTCAGCCCCAGCCCCCCGCCCTCCGCAACACACCCAGAGAATGGAGATTACAGGAACATGGGGCATCCTGTCCTATCCTAGTGTCTTAGGAAAAGGCGGAGGTCACTGCTGTCGAGGACAGCAGAGGTTTCCCAGGGAC